GATGAAGAAACATGTCATGTTAAGCAAATAAAGGTCTCTGACAAATATTAATGTTCGAAGGAGTTTAAAAACCCCCACAACATTTTCATCCAGGATACACCTCAGAGATGCATGTGGTGTAACATGTTTAGAAGAATGGCCCAAATGTAACCCCACTGCAAAGGAGCATGATATGCAGGTTGGATTTTTCTTCTAATTCAGAAGTTCTTACACTGCTTCTTCTCAGGAGACTGATTTTACACTCAGCACTGCCAAACTGTTAGCTCTACTGGGGAATGATCCCCTGGGATAACCAGCAGGCCTCCTCCTCGCCTGGGGGCTCTGGGCAGGAGCTCATAGCAGGCAACCTGTGCCTTCAGACCCATACCCACCAATGCTCCACAGTTCTCCTAACCCCACATGCTATTTGAAGGACTGCTGCTACAGAAGAGACTTTAATCACTATAAAAAATCGCCAGCCAGCTGAGGAAAGAAAAGGACATGTGGAGCTCCACAAACTCATGAAGTTGGACTTACTACAGTTCTCTGCCTTACACACAAATTGAGAGACTTCACGTCATCAAGGTATTTATAAGGTCTCTGGCTCTCCCTCCCATATCTTCTCTATGTCCAACAGTGGTCATTCATCTTTTTTTAAGCAAAGGCACTGGATAGCAACAATTTCCTCCACACTAGGGTGGCTGCTTCCATGAAGATCATGGGAACTGAATTGCCCGTGAGATCTTTGCCTTTCTGTCAAGTTTGAGTGAAACTAGCCAGTGAATAAAATACAAGAAGAAGTCCTGACTGGAAGAGGCACAGAGGCAGGCATCCTGCCATGTTTCCAAAGGAAATCATATCAGTTTTTTAAAGGAAACAGCGACAGCTGAGATATTTGGATAATGTGTTTGCGACTGATCACCTGTTATCTTGACTGCATGCTTTCAGGATATTTCTTCATTACACCTTGCAAGACTGAGGTAATTGCCTAAAAACAGCAATGACCATTCCACAGGATTCCTTTTATAATTTTTTTTGCCTACAACAATACAATGAATTTGAACTCAATATACTATCTCGCCAGCTGTTTGGTTCATGAACAAGTACTGCACAAATTGTACTCATCTGTGTGTGTTTTTAATCTTTTGTCTTTACTAATGGATTTATCTTGCTTTCAATTCTCTTGATACAATCTTTGAAAGCTGCAGTCCAACAACTAAGACACAAACTCACTCCTTTAAACTGCCTCTTGGTGCAGCTACACATGTCCCCCGGTGAAGCCAACAGAGATTTTGTTACCACTGAAGGCAAGACCAGGCCTGTAGCGGCTGCTTAGGCTGTGAAACAAGTTAGCTTGATAGTTAACTCAGGCTGCGCTACAAAATTGAAGAGAATACAGACTCCAATAAGACTAATGCAGATCAGTTAAAGGGGGTAAAGAACTATAGACCTGATGGAAACAAGACAAGTGACAGTCACGCAGAAATGGAGATGCCAAATCTCCCTTTTGTATTCTCTCCATGACCTCTTCCCCCTGTAACTGCGGGATGATCAACACTGAAGCAGCAGAGCTGTGCTGTCTGTGGCTTTGATTTGAGGGCTTTAAAGAACCTCATCATTGAGGTCTCCCACATGAACTTTTTCCCATTGTCCTCCAGACAAAGGCACTGAAGGTCAAGTGAGAAGATTCTTCTTCAGAGCTACTCAAGGGGCACTTTTCCCCCCTCTGCTGTGAATCCCATGATTCTCAGTGTTACCCTTGACCAAGACAACATCCCACAGTCAGGTGAAAAAGGGTTAGCCCTTTTTCAGCCTCAAGGTCTGAACATTGTTTATCCTCGACAGAAATGCCTTCCTTCAGACAAAGCCGTGTAAAAAGACTGGCAATTATGGAAATGCACAACGTATTGCTTTGGGTAGGTGTCTCAGGGACTAAAGATCATCATCCTTCATGGGTTCTCACTGATGCTGCTGTGAACAGAAAGCTGAAATGCATGCTAGAGCATGTGGTATCAGATTAAAGAGAAGTCAGTAGCAGGAATTACATGTGCAAGAGATATCACCTACCTCAAACATCTTTTTAGCAGAGAAAGCTCTGTTGTTTAGCATATGTTGCACTGCAAAATTACATACACACTGGTTTCCAGCAGCATTTGATTTTCAAGGTGTAAAATCTGCCTCAGCCTGATAATAAACATGGACAACCTATTTGTTCTGCTAGATTTTCATCCTGTCTTAGCTTACACGCCCAGTTAGTAGGGTGTAAATGCAGAAAGAGGTTAACAGGGCCTGCCAATGAAAAGGAACCAAAGTTTCCTCTTCCAAGGTTTCTGTATCTCTTCTTGTTGTAGTCCAGAGAGACTGGACACCGAATGACAGAGGAGAGTTTTGCCCTAAAGCAAATGCTCACAACTCAGAAAGGCGAGCATCTCTGCAGGATGACTTTCAGTAGAACAAAACAAGTGATTAACGATTTCATAGGCTGGAGGACAGAAGCAGGAGGAGCTGTGACATCAGGAACTCACTGCGCTGTTACTCACAGGTTGATGAAACTAGGTAAGCAAGACAGTTACACCAGGGAAATATTCAGCTCTACAGCAGTCTGATGAAGGTAATACATGGGAAGCGATGCATGAACACTGAAGACTTGAAAATTGCATCATAGGCTATATTCCAGCAGTGTATATGAAACAAGTTGTCACACATCCTGTAATTACAGCCTGTTCTATTTCATTTATACTATGGGAGACAGGGGTAGGGAATAGGGTAAATTAAAGGGACACTGTCACATCAGGGCAAGGCTTACTCTAAGTGAAGGACACTAAATACAGTAAAGCACAGAAGTATTTTTAATACCTGTTTTGTAATTCTGGTGGAAGCAAATGCACGTTTTCACTAAAATATTCCAGATAGCTGAGATGCTTTGCAGTGATTTTGTTAGCAGTTTTGGTATCACAAAGTGGATTGCATTTAGCTTATCCCACAGTAAATGCCTCCACATTAGCATGCAAAGCGTACCTTCCTAGAAAGAAACTCACATGCTCAGATGGTGTCTGAAATTCCACAGAAATTCTAGTTCAAATACGCTCACTTGATTTCTCCTAGTTCTAGTTAGACAGCCTTTTCCAGGGCCAAATAAAAGTATTAGCTTCTCAGACTAACTCTGCTCACAGTAATGAGAAGTCCAGGAGGAAGTAAGGTTTTGGCTAGAAAAATGACCTGTCCTGTATGAATTTGTCTTTCCTGGTTGCTAGTTCATTCAAATTAGCTGCATAATAACCGAGATTAAAGGAAGCCTCCAACCTAGGGGAAAGAGAGAGGTTCACTAAGCCTCCTCCCTTCGCTGCTTCTAGCTCTGTGTAGGGTGACATAATCCCCTTCTCAGCTTCTGAAAGACATCAAAGCCTTTTTTACTCTGTTGCTGAATCACCAGTGGTCCACAGAGAAAAATCAGCACGGCCTACGCCCTCAGATGCAGCCAGTCTGGATAAATCACTCCATGCAGCCTGCTGGGAGGTTGCAGGTTGCATGGTGGGTTTGTGCAGCTCTGGATGCTGTGCTTTCACCCAGAGCCTTCCAGCAGGTGTGTAGAGACCTTCACCATCCCTTCCTCAGGAAGCAATGGGACACGCTCTGTTACTTGGCACATAGTTGGGACACATAGTGAACAGGAGCAAGAAAACTGTTGAATTCTCAGTATGGAAGGAAAACACTGTCCACAGCTCTCCACAGCCATATGGCAGGGCTGACGAAATTCAGCCTGCGTGAATCTAAGTCACTAGGCACTCCCGACATGGTTGATGAAGAAAGGCAATGATCCATGTAAACCCAGCCCCAGCTTCTGTCAGACTTTCCTGAGACGGGTGCAGGAGCCCAGAGAAACCCAGAGCTTTGTTTAGGTCTGCTTTGGCAGATGTAGTCAGCATTTAGCGCACTCCTTCCTTTACCTCTGTCGCTGCCCTTATTTTGCAACATTCAGAACTGAAATCAGCCCAGAGAATGATGCTTTTGTCGCAAGGAAGGCCAGCAGGGATTTTGTCTGGGGAGGAGAACAGCTGCCATAGTGCTAAGAGAAGTTATATATTTGGAACAAGGACACAAGGAGGTATACCACCCTGCCTACCATGCTTGTCTTCACTGCACGTTGCTCTCTCCTGCATCAGGGATTTTATTATTATCTCCCTTGCTGTCAGCAGGGATGATTGCCTGCAAATGTCCACAAATACACCTGCTGTCGGACACTTTGGTATGGATGTAATTCCAAGAAAATGAGAGCTTCAGCAGCTATGCTGGCACCAGTCCTTAATCCAGATAAGCCACCTTCTGTGCAGAGGACGTGACCTTGTGTTGCAGTCCACCTCCCTCCCTCAGCACTTTGCAAGACCGGTGCCTGTCTGGGAGATCACCGTGCCCACCTCTTCCTGACGCAGTTTGTGGCAGAGATGGTGGCTGGTAGATTTTAACTTTTCTGCCCCTTCCCAGAATTGTCTGCTCACAAGGCCTGCGCATTGGGGGTCTGTGATGTTAGCTGCTTTAGGCAAGCCAAAGCACTGTTATGCCGATAAATTGTCACTATTTCCCTCCTGTAAGCGAGGAGTGGTAGAGCTCACACCAGAACATAATTTAAACAGTTCTTCTACGGTACCTTTCCCTGATGTATTAAAAACCTTTGTGGTGCTTCAGGCAAAGAGACATGGCATACATACTCGATCAAAACACAGAATTATGTGTGGCAGAATGTCATGCCATTTGATGTTCCTGCTACAGCCAATGTCACCGGCCTGAAATACCAGAATATTCTATCTTTGATACTCAGTGACTGATTTACAGTGCACAAGCTGGTTTTTTTCTGTCCTTTCAGTTTTTTGTATTGCTTGGCCCACGAGGGCAGGGGAAGCAGTGGGTGCCCGTGCACGGTGTCACCCTGCTGTTGACATCCAAACCTCAACACAAACCCGCTGTGGAACAACTGAAGCGGCCCTGCTCGTGCCGGCTGCTCTCTGCTCCGTCCATGGCGCCTGATGGTGCCCATGGAGCTGACCCTGGCCGCTGGACTTCCAACTGCCAAGTGGTACCACCGACAGCTAGGAGCGGGGTTGGTTGTGCTGCCAGCTGGGGCAGGAGGTGAACAGAGCATGTACATTGCTCCCCTGGTGTCCAGCTCTTAATGTGAGAGGTTGTTATTAAGAACCCACTAGATAATGATACTCTGTTTTTTGCATTCTTACCATCTTTCATGAAAAAGTCTTGAAGTTACAGAAGCTAGTGGTGTAAACTGTATTAATTTGAGGGTATTTTCTGATTGGGGAAGTTCAGACCTGTGCCTTGCCCGTTCTTGCTCATGTCATCTGTGGCAGAGCTAGGACTTGGAGCTAGATTACCACACTTAGTCTTACCACGACAGAGTAGTAAAAGTGTTTCCTTGAAACACTTTCTCAAAATAACAAGAACTGACTTTCTGAAATAGCGGTTTTCACAGGAGCTGCATCTTAGCTAAGCAAGATGACAAAGTTGTTGTTCTTAGGACTGATGAGAAGTCACCCAGCAATTCCAGCAAGGACAGAACAATATCTAGATGTGTGCTTCTCTGTGTTTTACGATTTCTGGAACATGTCTTGCACTAATTGGTCTTAACGTTTGGCAGGTTTTCAGATCTGTTGTGTCATTAACATGAAGGTAGTAGTAAAACCTGTAGGCATCTGTGTAGTGCATTTTAAATGTAATATAATTTACAATGGTACTAAACCAGCTTAACGATATGTCGATGTACAGCAGTTTCATCAGAAAAAAGTGAAGAGAAAGATGATGATGGGGAAGACACTGGAAAGTGTTACTACTTTCGATGGAGGAAAGCTGTCGAGCGCTATCAAGCTCCACTGGAAGGTAGGTTATATGCACAGTTTCTCTTAAAGGCTGATTTCGTACATAAAGATACATACACATACTAAACTTCTATTTGAAATTGCTTGCCTTCGTTCTGCAAGTCAATTTTATTAAATGCATGTATCCTGCGCACATGGTATTTCTTTGCCGTTTGGCATACTTCTTGTTGTCTTTAAGTAAAGAAATGACCAGTGTATCCTTGAAAGAACAGTAATTAAACAGACTTGATAATCTTACTCATGTGGTTCTCAGTGCTCCTTCAAAAGCAGGTGTGTGTTTTTTCACTTTTGTGCACTGATTCAAAAAGAATCCCGACCCCCAGTCACTGGAATCTTCCACTGGAACTGGGGATGGGTGAAACACATCCCGTTTTCTGCCACTTTCACTATCCTGCTTTCTCTGAAAGTTATTTGCAACATTATTCTGAATTCTTTGCTTTCAGCAGAGCCAAGACAACGTAAGACATTTTCTTCGAGCCGGTCTTCCCCTGTCAGACAGAGAGCCTCCTTTACAAGTGCCCAGTCACAAGGCTCGTGCCGCAGAAATACTGGCAGGTTGGTGTGTGGTTTCGCATCTATCAACGGCGCTGTCAGTCCCATGACTGAGTAACGCTTTCAAGGGGTTTGGGATTGGTGGTCATTCCAGATGAAGAGTGCACTTATTGCCGTGGTAGTCTGAGGGTCTAAAGAAAAGAAATACTAAGATGGGGGGGGGAGGCAATACTTTTTATTAGCCATTAGACTTTTAAAAAAACAGTAAGTGTGGTCACTGATAAGGCGATGATGGAGGGTGTGGCTGAGATTGTGTAGCTGACATTCTTTTGCTCTGGAATTGAAGCCAGAATGTCCCTCTGAAAAATCTGAGACTATGTAATCTTGAAGGATGTAAATGTTTTCTTAAGACTGGAGATAATTTAGTTAGAGGGAGAGCCTGTGTGGAAGTTCTAATGGATTTTTTTTTTTTTTTAATCACTCATATATAGGGATTCTGCTTTCTCTTTGGAATCAGTTAATGTTTATGTATGAATCCTTAAACAAGACAAATGCTAAATGAAGTTCTAAATTATAAATTGCAGTAGTAAGGACAAAGGGGTTTTGGATGCCGTAAGCACTTAGAGCATGGAGAATGCCATCTCTTGCTAGATGTGAGCACTTTCTTTAGCATCCTTGAAAGATGTGGTTCTCAGTGCTCCTTCAAAAGCAGGTGTGTGTTTTTTCACTTTTGTGCACTGATTCAAAAAGAATCCCGACCCCCAGTCACTGGAATCTTCCACTGGAACTGGGGATGGGTGAACCACTTCCCGTTTTCTGCCACTTTCACTATCCTGCTTTCTCTGAAAGTTATTTGCAACATTATTCTGAATTCTTTGCTTTCAGCAGAGCCAAGACAACGTAAGACATTTTCTTCGAGCCGGTCTTCCCCTGTCAGACAGAGAGCCGTAACGCTAAGTGAAACTGTAGTTGTGTGTGTGTGTGAGAGTGAGGGATGGGGCAAAATGAGTAGGTTTTTTATGAAATTTGTGCCTCCTTTACAAGTGCCCAGTCACAAGGCTCGTGCCGCAGAAATACTGGCAGGTTGGTGTGTGGTTTCGCATCTATCAACGGCGCTGTCAGTCCCATGACTGAGTAACGCTTTCAAGGGGTTTGGGATTGGTGGTCATTCCAGATGAAGAGTGCACTTATTGCCGTGGTAGTCTGAGGGTCTAAAGAAAAGAAATACTAAGATGGGGGGGGGAGGCAATACTTTTTATTAGCCATTAGACTTTTAAAAAAACAGTAAGTGTGGTCACTGATAAGGCGATGATGGAGGGTGTGGCTGAGATTGTGTAGCTGACATTCTTTTGCTCTGGAATTGAAGCCAGAATGTCCCTCTGAAAAATCTGAGACTATGTAATCTTGAAGGATGTAAATGTTTTCTTAAGACTGGAGATAATTTAGTTAGAGGGAGAGCCTGTGTGGAAGTTCTAATGGATTTTTTTTTTTTTTTAATCACTCATATATAGGGATTCTGCTTTCTCTTTGGAATCAGTTAATGTTTATGTATGAATCCTTAAACAAGACAAATGCTAAATGAAGTTCTAAATTATAAATTGCAGTAGTAAGGACAAAGGGGTTTTGGATGCCGTAAGCACTTAGAGCATGGAGAATGCCATCTCTTGCTAGATGTGAGCACTTTCTTTAGCATCCTTGAAAGCAGACAGTTACGGAAGGAGGAAGGGATTTTGAAGCCAAATTTTTATCTGAGTTTAAAAGGCTTATGTTTCACAGAGTGGATACATAACTCTGAGTGAAACTGTATTTTTGTGTGTGTGTGAGAGGGAGGGATGGGACAAAATGAGTAGGTTTTTTATGAAATTTGTTGGGAAATAATGAAGCGTTCTGCCTTCCTAAGAAAAATTAAATTTTGTTTGTTTAAATGTTTGCAGACGGAGACACGCAGTCCACAACAGTGACTCTACATCCTCTTCCTCATCTGATGATGAAGAGCATTTTGAGAGGCGCAGGAAGCGCAGCCGCAGCAGAGCTTTGAGGAGGTTCATGAAACTGGAGAACAGGGGAGGGAGGGGTCTACCTGGGAGGAGTTTGCATCTGCCTAACCCTGAAGTGTTATTCTCTTCCTCTTGTACACTTTCCTCTTGTACACTTTCTACATTGTGGCAATATTTAATCATACCTGTCAGCACTGACAGCTGTAACTGGACTCTTTACAATTGGATTTTTAGAATTGATTGATAATCAGCAGTTTGATTGATAAGTGGCAATAGGGGGAGGAAAACGTTTATGTAGTTTTTTAATGTGAAATTCTACTGCTCCTGTGCTTTAGATTGAGTTTGTTCAGAAAGAAGACCACCATAACAGAAAATGTGATAGAGGAAATGATGGAGGTTTTGTTACTTAACAAATGCTCTAGAAAAAGTATGTTGATAACAGACTTAACAAACAAGCTTTCAGCCTGATGTCTCTGACATGTGTCCCCTGGCACATACACCCCAGAGTTCTCAGGACGTACCAGCAGTGGTTGGCAGCCTGTACGATGTTAATCCGCATGAAAGAAGTATCCACTTGGGCTGTAACTTTTTGAATGGAGGAGCAAAAAATCTTTAAAAGATGTCGATGTGTTTTGAGGGGGGGTTCTTCCATCACACAAAGCAATGTCAGTTCACGGTCTCCGCATCCGGAAGAACTTGTTCTAAGCTTGCATTCATGCCTGTGCTGTGCTGACTAGCATGGCTATTCGTGTTAAAATCATTAACTCAGTTTAATGTCTGGAACAATTTTATTGTTGTGTTTACTCATGGACGTTAAATGCATGTATATTTTACTATTGTTAAATATGTATATTTAACTATTTGAGAAGTTTATGCTCATTTATAAGGTCTTCCGCATTCCCTTGCCATGATGCTGAAAGCAAAAATCTGAAGTTAGAAAGTGCCTTTCTCTTTGTCCTTCATTGAAATCAGGTGTCTTCCACTTAACTTTGGGGAAGAGGAGTTAAAGGGAATTCACCAGGATCAAATGGAAATCGGAGCAAGTCTGGCTGATGTGGATCCAATGAAAATAGATTGTTCGGTAAGTATTTCTAGTTCATTGTGTCAGTGTTGGTGAAAGCCTTCAGTAGCGTGCTGCCTACAGATGCCTTGGTTTACAGTTTTCTCTGGAGCAATTTGAAAATTGCCCAGGACATTTCCTTTGTGCTGACAGATAATTTCTGATGGAACCTTATCGAGGTTGCAGCTTTCTTTAACTTATCCAATGTGTTCTGTTGAATTTATCTTTAGGTACGATTTGATGGCGTGGGTGGCCTTTCTGACCACATTTCATCTCTAAAAGAGACGGTCGTTTTTCCCTTGCTTTACCCGGAAGTCTTTGAGAGATTCAAAATTCAGCCGCCAAGGTAACAGAGATTGTTTAAACCTAAAAATTCTAATTGGAATTATCTCCTGCTAGTCAACTGTAATTGGTTTCTTCGAAGTCCACTTGGCTCTCCCACCAACTCTGTTTTTGAAGTGCGGAAGTATCAGTTTTCCAATGGATAGGACCTTGTAGTGTTTGTTGTGCTTGGGCTGAGTAGGAATCGATCTGCTCCTTACCCAGCTAAACTCGTTGTGCATTATGAAATGCAATTTTTAGAGATTTAATACTTGACTTGATAGGTTCTTGCTCAGCAAAACTCAATCACGGTATATTGAGGTGCAACTTTAAGTTCTTTGCTTTCAGTAACGTTCAAAGTATTGCCAATAACAAAATGAAATCTGTGTTTTGCTCCGTTATTTGTTGAAATGCTCTTTGAAACAGCAGTGCATTGGCTTTTCCAGTTTATGGCTATATTTATCTGGAAATGCAGAATACCTTCCCAGCTTTAGAATTCCCCGGAAACCAAATCCAGCAACTTCAAGCTTTTCAAGGGAGAATTCAATGCTTCAATATCAGATCTTGCCTTTTGTGACACCCAAATGAATGGGCAGTGTCTCGCTGAAGAGTGAGCTGCTGATTCGCGAGTTAGCCCAGTCTCCGATTCTGTGCTGCCGTTTGTTCCTGTTTGGCTCCGCGGTGCTGTAAGCACCCCTGTTAGTTTGTCAGCAGCTCTGGAAGGGTCCTTCTGGGACACTGCCATCTATTCTCGAGTTTTTCTACGTCTGCCTTGTCCTCTGTGCTCTTTTTGTTTGCTGCCTTCTTGAATTGTGTAGGAACAAAAACCTCCATCTGTTTTGACTTTTCTCACACTTGAGCTGCTACCACTGTCTAATGCATGAAGTGCTTCGGTTAGGAGAGAAGAGTTGGGTGTTTTAGGGGTGGAGGTAGTAAGAGCTACTTTTCCACGAGGCTTTTTTCCTAGGTGAATCTTTTTTCTTTCAATTGCAGACGCTTTCTATTCCATGGTCCACCAGGAACTGGAAAGACACTGGTTGCTCGTGCCCTTGCTAATGAATGTAGCCAAGGTGCCAGGAGAATAGCCTTTTTTATGAGAAATGGTGCCGACTACCTGAGTGAATGGGTGGGAGAATCTGAACGACAGCTTCATTTATTATTTGATCAGGTAAGGCCAAAATGCGCTGTGTGTTCTGTCCAAGTTGTAACTGTCCTTTTCTGCGGTCAGTGTTTTTAAGGAGAACTCACTCATTTTTTGTGTTTCACCAGTTCTTGTCACTGAAAGGGGATTGTCAGGGTTTTGTTTTTCAGTGGGTTCTTAGGGGCTTGAAATCTCCAGATGTATTGGGAAAGGTTAATAAAACCAATGAGAAATTTCCAGCCCCTCGGCAACGATTCTGCCTATCTCAATGAGGCAGCTCCTGCCTGGATGCATGAAGCTGCTTCTCTTGTACTAAGCAATAAAAGGGGCAATTAAAAAGTGAAATGATAATTGAAATTAACCAGACTATTGCTGCTGTAGGTATTTTTGTAAAGCCCTACCCTTACTACAGTTACAAGTGTCAAATTAACTATACGAGGTTTAGAGAACTAAGAAACAGGATTTTGAAGAACGTGTTCTTGTTTCATAAGAAGGATCGTGGAATCATAGGATCATCAAGGTTGGAAAAGCCCTCTAAGATTATCAAGCCCAGCCGTCACCCCAACATCACCACGCCTGCTAACCCGAGGTCAGAACTTCTGCTCAGCCTTAATGCTGACGTGGCCAAGTCCATCTTTATGCTAGAGCTACCTGACAATGCAGTATCACGGAGCAGTTAAAGTCACAACCAGTGTTGCGCAACTTGGGCAAAGGAGGGCTATCTGGAGAGACTGTGTTGTACTGTGGAGGGCAGATCTGGTACTGAGTATGTAGGATTCAGCTGATTTCAACAGGCAGTTGGTTTTAGAACTAGTTTTGGTTTCATTGGGACCAGCCAGGAAAATGGGATGCTAGTCCTTGAAATGTGTAAGTAAGGATGAATGTCTGAATTAGCTATCAATTACTACAGTCTCATCTTGAAAATGAAAGGTGTGGTGTGTGCACAAGGATTCCTTTTTGCTGACAAAAAACTCTTCTTAAGGCTGGTGCTAGAGCAAATTAAAATTTTTCATTCCCCAAGTGGTTCCTGTTTGCTTCCTTATTTCATCTACTTAGGCACTTTGCTCCTGAAGTGCTCTTGCTCTCAGTTCTTGGTTTGTGAATGGATAGGGGATGTACCTGCGTTGGATTGTTCCCAGGCTGGGTATCCTGGGAGACACCTACACATATTGTCGGATCTGACCTTCTCACTGGCACTTCCTAACAGGGAGTTGGACAAGGATGTGGTACACTGCCCAAGTGCAGGGTTTGGGAAGCTTCCAGTTCAATGGCGACAGCTAAGCAATGAAAAAATATGTATCAAGCAACCAAAAAATACTGGGGGGGGGGAGGGGAG